TCTCTCTCTCTCTCTCTCTCTCTCTCTCTCTCTCTCTCTCTCTCTCTCTCTCTCTCTCAACACAAAAATTTTGAGACTTCCTTAAGCTATATAATTTTATTTTAATTAAATTTTCTTTTTTCTCTTTTTTACATAATGCCAAGTTTTTCGGATTAAAATTATATAAAATTAAAGTTCAAATAATTTATAAAATCAATGTAAAAAGAATAGGGATGAGAATATTTTTTGGATAAATTTTATAATTTAAATTAATGGAGAAAAACTTATATATATTTATTCTTCTTAAGATAGGAAATTCAATCAGCATTGACTGGGATGTCCCTGAATGAATCTAATCTAACATTGCCTAAGGACATACGTATATCCACATGACAAATATATAAGCATAACATTTTTACATACTTTCTTCATCTTGAAGCCGATAAGCCAATGCTCCGTCTTCATGTACCAACCATTCACGGCATACTGCAAAATTACACGAGTACAAGTTCACATTATGAATACCAATGTAATGACTAATCGTGACTAATTGTGTGACGTGAAACGCGTTTGTTCCAGAATCTTTCACTTTATTTTTTGTTGCGTTTTCTACACTCGAATTACATATATACATATATATCTAAATGTGAAAAGAAGAAAAGATTGCGTATGCATAAGATAAAAAAAATCAAGCTTACAGAGAATTTCATATCTTACAAGAGAAGCAGGAAGAAAGAAATACAAAAGTCTCACCTTCGTTTACACGACCGGCCTTTGGCAGCGTGTCCGAACTTAACACAGATTTCGCCATTACACTTTTCTGTTTCTCGTCGACCTCTTGCAAAACTAACAGAATCATCCAGACGACCCAGGTTGTGTTTACAACCCCATTGTGCAAGAGCAGTAGTCACGACATTGTTTTCTCTCCATCTTGAAACTACACGAAACGGCTGTCACTGTTGTAAACGTACACACATGTGTGAGAGTTTATAAATAACTTCGTTTTGATTTCTCAGCCCTGACACAGCGCAAAAAAATTTTTACAAATAAAATCCTTGAAATTTATTTTTTTCAAATATAAAAAAAAATCGTCATTAGAATAATATGAGAAATATTGAATTTCTTTTGTACTTAATACAGAATGCAGCACAAATCTTTTATAACCGAAGTCGCGACGAAAAGAACAAAGTCAAATAAAGTAATTATCACGATATCATGGACAAAACTTTTGGTTTTTTTGGGAAGGATAGTAAAATAGTAGTGATGCGTAGTAGTGGCGATGAATGTAGTGAATGGATGTCGAGCACGCGCGCACGGTGAAAGGGGTGAAACAAAACGGGAGCAACTTGGAGCAATCGTGAAGAGAAAGGAACCTAACCTAACCTAACTATTGACTGATGCTGGGGTCAATGATATCGCGGCCACCTATCAATAGAAATATCAGTTATCTTTCACGGTCGGTACTGATCGGTTTTTCTTTTTTTTTTGAATTAGAAAAAAATAATATAATTTTGCGGCAATATATAAGATATTATAAATATGCATATTTATGCAGCATTTATAATAAAAAATATATAATAAAAAAATCATGAATCATTTAATAATATATTATATCCAATATTTATATATTAATAATCACAAATTTGTTAATTCACTATGTGATCTAAATATTTTAGATCGCATTTGTAATTCAAAATGCCTATTTTACACACTCATATGTATGTATTTTATACACATACACCCCAGCAAACGAGAATGGATTAAAATGAATTGAAATATGATTCAGATTTTCAGAAATATTGATTGAATGTTAAAATGAATGCTTTTCAATCTTGAATGCATTTTTATTCATTTATAGGAATTGCATGGAACATCTCTATGTCTTTCAATTTAAAAATAATATTAGCTTTTTCTGTGCAAAACACACACATTGTAAATACTGTTCAATTCAAAATTTTGAATAGGAAATTGAATCTAATTGAATCCAATTGAATCCAATTAAATTCAAAAAAAGTATTCGCTATTTAAAATATATATTCGAATAGAAAAAAATTTCAATCCATTTTAATCCATTCTCGTTGCTGGGACACACACATACACACATATATGTATATATATGTATATATAATGTACATAAATGATCTAAATAAATAAAAATGTACATATAATTGCATGCGATGTATTAATAAGAATTAATTTAATTTTGTTTACAAAGTATTTACACAATACATATCTGTATAACGTGTATTTATATAGTACAATACACACATGCGTGCGTATGTAAAATTATTTAATATGCAGTCTATTACATTATTCTTGTGTTGCTATTGAGAGCAACATATTGGCCATATTGAAAATATCAATATCGGTCGTATCTGATAATTCTGCCAATTTTGCTACAATAATTTGCTCTCCCAAAGCATTTGTATCCAAACATAGAAAAAACGTTGTGCAATATACTATTGCTGCACTTAGGTAAAGTATGTTTGATTTCAATGATATCAGTTTCCGAGCTACATATTCTGTATTTACAGTATCTTTGTGCATATAATATGAATGAAATTGTGAATACAATCTGTCATGCTGGAAATATGTACAATTTAGTGAAATATGTATTGTATAAATGTCAATTGTATGAAGAAATAAATTAGATAATGTCTAAACCTTTAGATAAGCCAAATCCAATAAATCTATCGAAATGTTAAACGTATTTGGTGTTTCTCCGAGACCTGTCGCTGCCAGAAGAATTTCGATACAGTGCAATGGTGTGTAAAGGGGCATTGTAAATCCTACTGTTTTGAAAACTTTAATTTCCGAAGAGGAAATCATGTTTCGCGTATATTCAGATTCTTTGTCAATCAGATATAAAATATTAAGAATCTAACAAAACAATTTTATCTGTTAAGATTTGTCATGATGCTTAAATTCTTTACAAAGTATCATCTTTCAATGTACTTGCGGTATTCCTAAAATACTGGAATGAGAATCCATTTTGCACGCCAATTGAAAACATGACATTAGATTTAATTTTGTTTGATTAGAAATTTTCTTGCAAATTTTAAACCATGATGCTTCAGATGGATCATTTACAAACTCAGTCTTAAAAAGCTCCCAAAAGTGTTTACACATGAATCTGTCGTACAGTTCAACAGCCATATACTTGACATTTGGCTCTAACTCCAAATATTCCGCTATCTTGAAAGCAGCTTTCATAGTAGATGCTGGAATCGCTGTGATTATAATATAATTTAAAATAAAGCAGTAAAATGATATTCTAACAAATTTTCCAAATATCTTTCAATATCTCTTAATTCATTGTACGCGACACAATATTTATTCTCTCATTGCCTACCTATAAATGGCATGGCAAAATCAGTTGCATTAGCAATCTGTTCTTGCTCCTGTTTTCTCATAGTTTGCTGAAGATGTTCCATCCAATCATGAATCAATGGTTCTAATAACAAATTTAAAAATATTCAAATCAAAATTGAGTGAACTTTCCAATTTATTCTAATTCCTTACAATTAGAATATTTCCCTCCCCCCTCCCTCTTTCACTCTGTTACTCTCTCTCTCTCTCTCTCTCTCTCTCTCTC